ATTGAGTTCCACTTTTCTAAGGCTCTCACTGAAAAGCCCAAAAGTCACCTCTTGCAGTCGTTGTACCTGTTACATAAGTGTTGAAGAAGAATGTTCAAACTGACAAATGTTATTTTTTTTGTTTTTTTTTCAGGATTTAGTTTTCTCTCATTGACTTTGTGATCATAACAAGAGGGACATGAGTGATGAGTGTCTTACAGTGACAAAAATCATTGTAGCCACATATTTCTGTAACATGGACTCATCTGAACAGTGTTTGTAGAAGTTATATAAGGGACACAAGAATGTGTTTCCTGGTGAACAAGTTGATCTCGTCTGAGCTGAGTGTCTGACGTTTAATCCTTTTGTTTGGTTGATGTTGCTTTACATCCTCATTGTTTGACAGCACAGATCCAACTGCTTTCTAGAAATGATAACAGTAGCTATTCGAGTTGATTATTTTAGGATTACATCAAGAGTATGTTGGAATTGAGTGATCTCTCAGTAATGGCACAGTATAATTCACCATACCATACTTACATAATTGGCATGGGGAGGAAGTAATCCCCTCTCATACGCTCCATCGGGCTAATAGATGGAGTGATTGATGGATGCATGGATCCTTACTTATTTCCTATGATGAGGTGAAGGTTTAATTTTAGAAAGAGGGTATTCAAATGTTTTTGGTTTCAGTCCAATAACATTTGGCTTGGGAAAAAATGATACCTGAGGGTGCCCGATTTTAAAAAGAGAGCTGAGGAAGCTGAACGCTGCCCTCCTTCTTCTTCACCGCCAACGAGCGAGACAATAGTTAACTGTGTTCGTTAGAATTGTGATTATTATTTATGTTGCGCTGTCCAGATTTTGTAGGGGAGAGTAGCTTTTTTCTTTTGATTAACATTTTCTCCTGTTTTTCTGTTAGGGAATTAGGCAAGATGCCTGTATTTTCTTTTATTTATTTTATTTGAGGTAAGGTAGTTTGGATTTTGACGTAGATGTTTTGTTCATTATTTTGCCGACGCCCTCCCTGAAGATTACTTTATGTTTTGTGTTTATTGCTGAATAAATCATTATGGACTGAGAATTCATTGTTTTGTGGTTGATCATTGGGAGTGAGGAAGGACAGGGTCACTTTTGTGTTACGGCTTGTTGTCCCTAGGCTGGTTGTAACACCGTCATCTTATGTGAAGCAGACCAGCAGGGTCCCCCAGGGGTCTATCCTCGTACCACTTTTTTTCTCCCTCTACATGCTACCTTCTGGACATGTCATCCGCAGCCACAATTTGAGTTTCAACTCTTTTGTGGATGATGATGATAGATAGACTTTATGCTCTGCTAGGCTCATCATCTCTTTTCTGTTGCTTCATATTTGGTGCATTAGAGTCATCTTGGTTTTAATACTTAATGAACTATTTGAACTAAATAAATCAAAACAAATTCCCAAAATGTTGAACTTCCTTTTTAACAGACAATTACACTCCTGCATCAGTCTATCTCCTACTTAAAAAATTGTATTAAGACCAGGTTTCAGATTATTCTATTTTAACAGCCTGTAAAAACAAACAGTAACAAACAGATAGAGACAATTCTTCTATTTACTACTTCTTCTACTCGCAGCTGTATCAGGCATTAAAAATATAGTCTATGGTCTGATCTGCTGATTTGCTTTTTGTCTTCATCTCAGTTTGTTTCATAACCAGTTCAAAACTTGTCACAGGAGCTTTAAAGACAGCTTGATTGAGAATTGATTTGTATGTCCAGGTTCCTGCCCACTTTTTGTCTCAAAGTGAACAATAAGACATTTGTTGGTTTGTCACTTAAAAATGACTCAGTCATTCACATGTTATTGTCTGCATTGTGTATTGTGTGCATACTCTCTGCTGCCTGAGTGCTGAGTGATGACGATGTTGTGTAAAGAGTGCTGATAACCAAAGATATTCACTTTGGTTAAAAATAGCTTCCTCCATGAGAAGAGAACATGCTTTCACATCCAAGAACATGTTTTCTGAACTTTACAGACACAACATATCAAACTGGAACTGTTTCTGAGTCCAGTTCATCGGTCTCACAGAGTCTTTTGCAGTCTTTTGATTTGAGATGTTTAAGTTTCCTAATTTTGCCTCTGGAATTTCTCTTTTTTTTGCACTATTATGTATCTTACCAATTTACACCTTTTAAGATTTGGTTGAAATCGTCTTTAGGCCCTGACAGAAATTAATAACTCATGTGCTCTATAAAAGGAACAAATAAAATCCTTCATTATAGCCAATGTAAACCTGTACTTCAACCAATGTCTGCTATGAGGTACCAATCTAATTCTGGTTCTATTTTACATTTTACAGTTTTTTTAAATATGTTTTTTGCAATAATGATTAAAAAATACAGTTTCAAATTATTTTAAAATATTGTGCATTTTTGAAGGCATCTCTGCCACCCCATTCTTCGCGCCTCGAAACCTCCCCGGGGGGTCCTAACCCCCACTTCGGGACCTACTGTTCTACATCACCTGAACAATTTTACCCTCTATCACGAAAGAACCAACTTTGTTTTCCAAAGATAACGAGACAAAAAAGTAATTCTCGATAAATCAACTTTAATTAACTCGTTAGCATGAGAAAGCTAACAATGCTATCTCAAGATTACAAGAACAATTGAATCGAATAGAACAGAATAGAAGTTTATTTATAAAGCACATTTCATAACAGGTAAGCTCAATGTGCTTTACATTGAAGATTACAAAAAAATAGGAATACAAGAGACAAAATAGCTGTCTCAACAATCATGAATATGATACAAAAATCTGATTTGGTACAAAACAGAGCAAAACAAAACAAAAACAAAACAAAACACAACAAAACAAAACAAAACAAAACAAAACAAAACAAAACAAAACAAAACAAAAAACATACCCACATATACACAAAGAGTAATTATTTGTATGCTTGAGAGACTTTTGAGTTTGGCTTTGAAAGTAGAGACAGTTGTGATGGACCTCAGGTCAATCAGAAACTAAATTTTAACAGGATGGAAGGATTCATGTCCGCTCAGAGCATCAGTCGTATCATTTAACAACAATATGTGTAACTGCATCCATTGTGTGTCTTATTGATCCACCAGTAATAAAGTAGTAAAATGTATCCCCACCTCTGCCATGCATTAAAAAATGTCATATGACAATCACAGTTTAATTTTCAGCAGGAGTATTTCTTTTCTGTTGCCAAATATTTCTCCAACATGTCAGTCTCCATTGTGACGTCACTTAGTTCCTGGAAAATCACCATCTGTTCAGTTATGCTTCTTGAGTTTCACAAAAAGCAAGTGTTTGACTGATGAGTGAGGGCTGATGGTGAAAAATCAGACACACCTTGTGAGCTGCCTTTAAAAAGAGCGAGGAGCTGAACACCTGCAGCACCCAACATCAGACTGCAACTCGGGTAACCTCACTGATTTGAAGTCAAGGCTTAGAGGATCTTCATCATGACTCCAGTTTTCATTTGCCTCTTCTTCCTCTCGCTGAGTGCACTTCCTGGGGTAAGTCCTATTTATTCAGCACTATATGTTTCTGATATTGAACATTGCATGTTTTATTTATCCAATCATCTGTTTAAAATTTTCAACTTTCAATGCAATGACATAACAAAAATGTTTTTCAATGACCTTAAGCACACTGCTTTCCATCTTCAAATGATTGAGTAAATGATTACACCCCAAAAACAGAGTGGTGCAGCAGAACCCTGGTGTGTCTGTATGAAGTGTCTTTGAGGGGGCGTTTGGTCTGACCAATAAAAAACAGCATTCTTAAATATCTGGATCATCCTGGAAAGCACGAGAAAAATCTGCCAAGAGACATGATGAAATGACATACAGTACATGAAAAAAACGTGTTATATTAAATGTGTCATTTTGTGTTTTTTCATGACAGCACGCCGTTGATGATGAAGTCATGAAAGGTGAAGTTTTATAAAGAGGACAAGCTTAAAACAATTCAAACGTCTTGTTTTATTTTCAATGTGAGTAATAAATAACAAATAAACAGCCGGTTGTTGTTTCTGATGTCCTTCATCTCGGTTTGCTTTTAGAGGTTTCTTCGGACGTCTCTCTCACCATCTCCAGAGTTAATTCTCACGCAAGTAAGACAAGATAATTAATCAAATCAAAAATTCAGAGTTGCAGCCTAAACTCAAATGTTTTTGTCCTTCAACATGTGAAACTGTTCATTCCTGCTTTAGAGATTCATACACTCGTCTGATTAGCTAACAGTTTGCAGTTCCACACATCTGTCTGTTTATTTGTTGTTTTGCAGCGACAAGGCTGATACACGGCGACCTTCTGCCAAATACAAACAAGAATGCCGACCCCTGCACAGCAACCGGCTGCAAGTGGCCCAAAACTGGAAACTTTGTCTACGTGCCCGTCACCATCTCGTCACAATACAGTATGTTATACCGATGGCAGTTTGCTGTTTTCCTTGACCCAAAGAGGCAGGGGGGGCACTAGATACACAAGGAAGGGGGGACATTGTAGAAACACAAGGGGGGGGGACACTGTAAGGAAACTTGGGGTCGAAGAAACCTTAAATTTCAAATTATTCTTGGAGAAGATCGATGTTGATAAATCTCTTTCCGATTCTCTCCATTGAAGTTTCAGTGAAGAAAACTTTGAACAACACTTGTGTACAAAATGACATCCAGAGTATTCAGATTTGATGTGTGAATGCAAAGAGTCAATGAAACTTATTTAATAAATGAAAGTTTATGATATAGGAGATGTTCACACATCAAACTATCTAAAGGAAGGGAGAAAGAAGACTCCTCATCGGGCTTTTCTTTTTGTCTCTGCAGCCAGAGAAGAGCAGAACATCATCATCAGAGCCCTGCTGACCTTCCACCAAAGCACCTGCATCCGTTTTATGTGGAGACGTCGGGAAAGGAATTACATCTACTTCTACTCTGGATCTGGGTGAGAACACGCACAAATGCAAACACACACACACACACACACACACACACACACACACACACACACACACACACACACACACACACACACACACACACACACACACACACACACACATCCCAGGCTTAAGTGAAAAGAGATACCTGATGTCCTTGAATTATCAAAAGTGAAAACTTTACAAAAATTATAATTATAAAATTATAAGAAAAATTAAAACTAAAATGATTGTTCCTCAGTTAAAAGTTATCTATCCACTAAAACACTGAATAAAAAAACCAACAAGTGTGAGTGAGCACAAGGACTCCTGAGCTCCAGCGAACTTTTACAATCTTTGATCAAATCAACTGAAAATCAATTATGATAAAAGACTCTTAAGGCAAGGAAGTAGCCTATTGGGGTTTGGAATAAAAGTTGCTTAGCTGTTGATGGCACAGAAAAGATTAAAGAAAAAAGAGAAGAAGGAACCGACAAATGAAAGAGACAATCCACCTGTAACACCTGAGAAACTGACGAGACACACTATATGAATGGTGCAAAAGACGAGAATCAGTGTGAGATGTTTACTTTACTGCGCTCCATAATAAGAGAAGAAATAAACGCTGCTACAGATAAACTACAGCCTCAACTTAATTCTATTAAAGCAGATTTTAATGGATGCGACAAGAAACTGACAGATGTTGAGTAGGCCATTTTAAGCATGGAGGGTTAGATCATTTTGCTGGAGAAATCGATTGTAGAGGCAGAACATTTGATCAGCTGAAAGTTTAATCTTTAAGTTTAAACATTTAAACAGTTTAAACATTTCTGCTGTATGGACATTTCCACACCGACCAGTCACTTGGAAATGGTAGAAAGACAAGAAATAATGAAAGTGAGGAGGAGAGACAAAGACATGATTGATGTCTTTTAAAATAGTGTTTTCACCTTGTATGTCTCAGGTGTTTCTCTTACCTGGGCCGTCAGAATCGAGGCCAGCCGATCTCTCTGAGTCAAAGAGGTTGTTTGTACTTGGACACGGTGCAACACGAGGTGCTCCACGCTCTGGGCTTCCACCACGAACAGGTCCGCTCCGACAGAGACGAACACGTCTCCATCCTCACCCAGAACATTCAGCCAGGTATGACGAGCATCCACAGGAAAACTCTGAGAAAAACAAGGTGTAACAACGGGGGGAGAGGATGTCAATGCTTTGTGTTAGAAAGATAAAATAGGTATTAAAAAGATAAATATCATGGTTTGCTTTCTTTCCCTGCAGGAACCGAATCAAACTTTGAAAAGGAGCAGACTAACAACTTGGAAACTCCGTACGACTTTGACTCTGTCATGCATTACAGCAAGTAAGTGATCGTGTCCCATTAACAGGGGCGTGGCCAGACTTTTTTTTACATCAAACTTAAACAGCCATTCCAGTTTTTGTACATTAGTCCACCCCGATATATTTCAGGTTTTTGACGAGCTACTTTGTGAAACAATAACTCTCATAAGTCATCATACTTTGTACAATGTAATCATGTTTCAAGACTTCAGATTGACTCAGAAATATGCAAAATGTGCAGCTTTGCTATTTCAATCGATCTGTGTTGGAAGGAAGAATGCTTTAACTGTGAGTCTATAGTCAGTCTGTTGTTGTTTTGTTTGTGTACTAAAAAATGTTGTGTTTGTTTCCTTCTCAAGTTACGCTTTCTCCAGGAATGGTCAACCAACCATCATTGCAAAGGACGATCCTAAGCGTTTGTTTGGACAAGCCACAAAAATGAGCCAAAACGACATTGATCGTGTCAACAAGCTTTACAACTGCTGTGAGTAAACATTTATCATTCTAAAAATATTCTCTCATATATAAATATTGTGTCTGTTAACAGAAAGCCCTAAGCAGACATGCATCCTTGAATCTTATTTGACACTTTTTCCTGTGATAACAAGTATATTTCGGTTGTTTGCTTGTGGTCTCAACTTATTGCATTATCTAGGAATAAAATATTGGTTTACCTGTGAAAACGACTTAATTTCAGAAGCCAAGGATCAAATATGTAAGACATCTACTGGATTAAATCATTAGATGACCTTACTGTATCATCAGACATGTCCGCTGGGGAACGGTTTGTTTTTGTCTTGACCTGAGACGTAGGCGGTTTGTAGGCCCCCCCCCCACACAACAGTTTTGCCCCTCATCTTGCCAGGTAAACGGCAAAAACCAACAGGAGCGATGAAAAACAGAGGTTAGAGCGCAGAAAGCTTTCGAGACCGATGCAGAGCTGGCTAAACACTGAAGCTTCAGTGTCCACCACATGGCAACCTGCATGAGCATCGACTCTAGAGAGGAGGGGGCGGGGGGAGACAGCTCTCTACAATGTTTTTAATTTAGACCGCAGTACCCATTTTAAACACTAGGTGTCAGAGTTACATACTGCTCCTTTAAGATCTTGTGAATTTCACTCATTTTCACAGGAAACCCGGGTTTTGATCCCGAGATAACGTAACAAGTTGTTAGAGAATTTGTGAGAACAACAAAAATATACCCGTTATCACAGGACAAACCGAGTTAAATAAGATAAATGGATGCAAGTCAGCTGAAGGCTTTCATATGTAGGAAGAGAGTAGATGCAATTTCAATTGAGAAAGAAACAAAGGGAAAGGCGATGTATCATTTAAACATTATGTTCTTACTTTTCCCCTCAGAAACTGTAAATGACTGAAGGAAAAGGATGGACCTCTCGGCTCGCTGAGATAACACCAACGACTACATCTTAGTGTCATTTTGATTTCCATTAGCTATACAGGGCAGTGAAATGACCTTTAACCCCTGCTTTGATGCATCTCATTGACTAGCTCATATAGATATACTTTATTGGATACTGACTCAAATGAAGGGCCACCTGCTCTCTTTAAGCTGAGGTCAGATGTTTAACCAGAAATCTGTATTTTAACTCTTTGGGATTTGATTGAAATCTTTCCACTTTTGGTTTTATTGGTTTTAAAATTCAAACTTTATGATTTGGGTGTGATTGGGAAGAGAGGGACGATGAATCTATAAAACATCACATTTAAATTTGATATAATCGTTCCTGCAGTAAGAACTGTTGAACCAGTTGTTATATTTCTAACAATCAGTGGTGGAAAAACATTTGGATTTAATTCTGTTCAGTTTAAAATAACTCCATCTCAAGTTTCAGCTCCTGCATTTATAGTAAAGAAAAGTATTAGACTCAAATCAAGCCATATTATTCACAATTCCCACTAAATCTTTGAGGGAATAAAATATAATTTGAGTAATCTATCTTAATAGTTGTCTAATCAGTGTTTAAAGTTGTGACTGTAAGCACCTTCAAATTAAGCATAATGTATCGTCCCACTGCCAAGACAAAATGATCCAAATGAAATAGATGACAGATGATCGAACAATCAGATTTCTGTCTGATAACGGAGCCCACTCTGTAAAAATATCGTCTAAATGTTCATGTCTTTTGAAGTTTTAGGGTTTCTTTTTTTAATACTTTTATGGTTATAAGTCTTTGTCTCTGTATTCACTTTGACAACAATGAAAAATGAAAATAAATGAATGAATGAAAAAAGAGTGTGATTGTATTTCATTACCAAACAGGGGCAGTGTGACTCTATCAATCTAACAGTGCTGCACACTTTGGATCAGACTTTGCTTCTTCTTTCTTTTCTTTCCTTATTCGACCTGGAAAAACGCCACTCAGATTCAAAATCTGCTTTACATGGATGTCCTGGCTAAGACAGGCAGCAGCACAGTTAAGACGTTTCTGACAATGAACAGCCAGAAATACAAGAGAAAAAATACAGAAAAACGTACCAAACTTACCCCACAAAACACGAGAGAAAAACAGACAAGCCCCCAATTTATGTAATGACCAGCCTATGGCAAACCAGCCGTAGCACAAAAGTGACCCTCTCCTTTCTCACTCCCAATGATGAACCAAAATTTCCACAAATTTTCAGTCCACAAGACGATTTATTTACAATAGACAAAAAACTAAGTCATCATCAGGGAGAGCGCAGGCCAAATAATCAACAGAACATCTAAGTGAAAACCCCAAACTACCTTACATCAAATAAATTCAGGCATCTTTCCTAACTCCCTATCAGAAAATCAGGAGAAAATATTAGTGAAAAGAAAAGGTGAAAGAAGGAGGGTTGCATTGAGCTTCCAAAGCTCTCTTTTGAATCGGTTGCCCTATAGTAATAATAACTTTATCTATATAGCACCTCCAGCTTTCAGCAAAGTGTCTCAGAACTAAAAATTCAGTACTTGTGTTGAAGTATTTACCACCAGTGTTTCACTTCCAGGTTTCTCAAAACGTCTCCTGTTTACTCAAGTAGTTTGGATCCAGACGTCACACTTCTTCACACCTTCAGGTTAAACACGGGCCTGTGACTAAGTGGTGTCAGAAGAGCAGCCTGAGCTCACGCTTTCACAGCACTGAGTCAGCTCAGTCTATTTCAGGCCGTCTTAATTAGAGAGGATCTTTAGCCGCATCTTCACACAGGTTCTTGTCATCTTTTGTGTGACTTTTGTTGGGTTATACTGATATTGTAGCGTTGCTTTTTTGCCTATTTTGTTCTAATATGTTTCTCTAAGTGTGTTTTCAAAGAGCTTTCTTTTTAAGGAAATCTGATATCAGATCTTTGAAAGGAGTAATGTTTGAGTTATTGCACCAAATGAACGAGATCACGGGAGCTAACCCCAAATCTAACAAAACTCTCATGATTTTATTACAACTTTAGAATGCTGCACGAGCCCACACTTCAGCGATGAGCTGAGGTCTGCTTCTGGACCAAACAAACAGAGGACTCATTGAAATAAAACGAGTGGAGCACACGTCGTGACAGGGAGTTTGGCACATATTGGATGCTCCTGTTCTTGTGGCTGTGGGACAACAAACAGAGATGCAGTCTTTCATCTAGTGAACCATAGACAGAGTGGTTTTTTTTCTTCTGTTTTCGTTAAGATCCTTTGGGAGCTGAATATCCTCCAACTTGATCATCCAACTTGTAGGCCAACTTGTAGCCGACATCTAGTGCACGGGCAGTCTACATAAACAGATCATTTTCTAGCTTTAACTGCTCTCTTTCGCTCTCTGCATCACTGCTGTTTATCTGACTGAAGTGACTCATCACTCTGCAGCGCTGGGACTCGTCTCAAAGCTCAGCACGCTCTCAGCGTTTCCCGGGCAAAAACTAAAATTAGGTGATTTTTTTCTTTTTAGCAGCAGCAGAAAGTGGCTCTTCACAGACAGCTTTATTTTGAAAGGCATCTCTCTCATCTAATGTGCTGCAGGCAGTCACACACTCACATACACGTACAAATGTGTACACACAAACAGCAAGCAATCCCAACAGTGTCTGACTCTGAGTGTAGGTGTGTGTGTGTGTGTGTGTGTGTGAGAGAGAGAGAGAGAAAGAGAGAGAGAGAGAGAGAGGCATATTCTTTTTACTGCCTTTGGTTTTTGGTAAAAATTAAATGAATTCTCAGCCTGTATAATCGATAGTTATCTTGGGAGTTTTTCCTCATATTCAGGACTACATAGATGTTATAAAACATGGACGTAGTCTGACTTATGGGTTTCTGAAGGGTTTCTTTGTGAAGCCTAATGATGGCCACTATATTGAAAATGCTGTTTAGAACTAACTTTTGGTCAATCTAGAAACATGCAAAGATGTGGAGCTGAAGAGGGTCTTAAGCCTCCTGTCTAACAGCTACAACACAACCACACCACTAATTATGCAAAACTCTTAAAGGAGCAATCTGTAAGATGTGTAGTGAGTGAAATGATAAAGTGACCTCACTATATGATCAGACATTAAGGAAACATGTTATGTTGAAGTGCTGGCTTCTCTGACAACAATGCAGCAGTCAGTATGTCCTCCTTCTAACTTCAGATTCTGCTCCTGAATGCTCTTGATTTGTTTGGACCAGAGAAGGTAGGTAAGAAGAAGGTAAGCCACTCTGATGGACTATTCTGTCCACAGGTTAAGAAGACTGAGACTGAAGACTGAAGTCTTGGGGCCCTATTTTGACAACACATT